ATTTTCAACACAGTTTTCATGTCTAAAAACATACCCATTCATTACAAACAAAAATCCAGATCCATGAGGGCTTATCGAGCGATTCGAGCTTATCGTACTCATCGATCATACACCGAACATCGTCATCCGAGGTGATCAAAACCAGAGGGGCTTCATCGTCGTCGATTGGGCGTTAGTTAATATCCGAAATCTTCGATCAGAGCCTTATTGGTAGCTTTGTATGTTGTTTTGGATACTTTAAGAACATTCCCCTTGTTCTTCCTTTTTCTCACACATCATCTCTGTCTTCTCCCCTCTCCCTCTCCCCCTCCCTCACTCTTCTAATTTTTTTTTTCAAATCCTATAGTTGTATATTCCATTTTGTTTGTACTCTCATTTGAGAAGAGATAAGAAGTTGAATTGGTAGATGAAGCTGATGAAGATGATGATAACGATAATGAAGTGGTGAAGTTGAATTCTATCTGAAACTCATCCTGACTTGGCATCTCTTTGTGAGTTAGTGAAGGTAAGAACTGCCTTATGGGTTATAGCCTCCTATCCTTCCATGAATTTCTCTATCAATTAGGGGTGAACATGGTTTGGATTGGACCGGATTGGGTAAAATTAAGACCATTCCGTTATCTACGATTTTTGAAAAATTGGAAACAATTCAATTCGTTTAAATCATGAAACCAATCCGAACCAATCCATTTAAATACGGATTGGATCGGTTTAGGACCACGGATTCACATAATTAAATAACAATATATATATATAACACTTTAATTTCAAAAAAACATAAACATAGCGCTATATTTGTTCCACAATAACAACATGTTTTTCTATAATATCGACATACTGTTCTAGAATTTAAACAACCATAAGAAAACTGGTTTCACCATAAGTATTTAGACCATTACAAATTAAAACTAAAAACTAACAAACAAAAGTAATAAAAGAAGATATTTTGCAGGTTTAGGTTTGAGTTTAGGTTTTATATGGAATAAGAGAAGATACTATGGGGGATGATGGAGTCCAGATCGTCTACCGTGGTTCCCTGCGGCGCCTCCTATGGCGGTCCAAAACGACGTCGTTTTGGACCTCTTCTTTTCTTTTTTTTTTTTTTTATTTTTTTTTTTTTTTTTTTTCCTCTTTTTTTTTTTTTTTACCCAGATCCGAAGTAAGGCTGCCCAACACTGAAACAATCAAAACAAACAAACTGTATTATATTTGGAGTAAACCAGGCCCAAATAAAGCACGACATGAACCAAAATAAAATAAAAACAATCCCAACCTGAACCTTATTAATTAACTGGGTTTTAATCCCAAATTCTTAATAAAGTCCTAAAAAAACGCCTAAACGCAGACTGCGATACACAGCTTTCTTCTAACAGTTAGGCATAAAAGAAGTTTCAGTTCAATCTCCCTTCCCTCTCTCTCTCTCTCTCTCTCTCTCTCTCTCTTTCCATGGAAAGAAATCACAGTGGTTGTGAGTTTGTTTTGTTTGATTTTCAACACAGTTTTCATGTCTAAAAACATACCCATTCATTACAAACAAAAATCCAGATCCATGAGGGCTTATCGAGCGATTCGAGCTTATCGTACTCATCGATCATACACCGAACATCGTAATCCGAAGTGATCAAAACCAGAGGAGCTTCATCATCGTCGATTGGGCGTTAGTTAATATTCGAAATCTTCGATTAGAGCCTTATTGGTAGCTTTGTATGTTGTTTTGGATACTTTGAGAACATTCCCCTTGTTCTTCCTTTTTCCTACACATCATCTCTCTTCTCTATCTCTCCCTCTCCCTATATATATTTATATTTTAATGAATCTACAAAATAAGGTTGGATTTGAAGGGCTTTTGGTTATTCCCTAATCATATAATCTCTCTTTCATATAAAGATGAAAAGGGTGTGAGAATATAAAGACAACCAAGGATCAAGAAGGAAGAAACAGAAATGAAAGTAAAGATAGAGACCTTTGCTTTGATTTGTGATGAAGAGTATTGGCTAAACACTTGAGAAATCAAACCCAAGATGAAATCCAACAAAAAGGTCTGTTCGTCTCTTTCTCTCTTTTGAAGATTAGGTTGTTAGCAAATGAGATAGAAAGCAAAAGAGGGGAAAAAAAATAAAAAAAATAAAAATAAAAAGGTCAAAACGATGTCGTTTTGGATCGCCGCAGGAGGCGCCGCAGGGAACCACGGCAGACGATCTAGACTCAGGGAGGATGTATAATAAAAATGTAGACTATTTGTATATGGTCCGAATCGGTTCTAATCCGGAACCGTGGGGTTCAATCCGGAACTAATCTGTGGACTACGGATTTTTAATTTTTCAATCCGGAACCGAACCACAAATTCAAAAAATCAATCCAAACCTACCGAATTGGACTGGACTGGACTGGATCGGATTATGGATTTCACAGATTCCTTACTCAGCCATACTATCAACGACATTATCTTCAACTTGAGCTAGCATCAAACTTTGAGTGGCTCATTTATACTGGCCATGCTTTCATAAGCTTCATAGGGTGTTTGTTGATGGTATTTGTTTTGTTTTGTTTCGTTTTGTATTTTTATTTTTATTATTTTTATTTTTTTAATCTAATTTTGTGTTCTAGTTGGTTTCTCATCAGCTGTGTGGTGTGTTAGCAAAGGATATGGTGTGCATTTTGGTGCCAATTTTATTGGGATAATCCTACTCACTGTGATGCTTTTGTATTTCCCTCTTTTTATTAATGATTTTGTTCTTGTACTTTTATTATCATTAATAAAGGATTCTTTTTTGCTGTTAAAAAAATCACTAATGGTTAATTTTTAAAGACAAATGTAAAAAAAAAAAAAAAAAAAAAAAAAAGGAAAATGTCATGAGAAAACATTTTTCTTCTAAAATATATTACATTGAAACAAACAAGGCACTCAATTCCATATTTTCTTTGGCGGCATTATTTCCACCCCAAATTTCACTATGATGGTTGCATTTACACAGGTCCTGCAATAACCACACTCCAAACACTCTGAGGGTGTGTTTGGATCAAGGATTAAGAAGGGATCTGTGAAATAATAAGGGAAAAGTGAATGAAATATAAGTTAAACTTTGTTCACTTTTCTATTCTATTTTTCTTTCATTTTCCAAATCACTCCTCTGAAACACAGGCCAAGCATGCAACATAAAGCGATGCCGAATTGGGGTACACTATTTTATTTTCTTTTAATGAAAGAAATTTGTTTGAACAAATAATAGAACAGTTAAAAGATCGATCTTGTTCGGCTTCGGCTCTTGTCGGCCCCTCCAGTTTGCCTCATGCAATGCAATTAAGGGTGTCATTTGATACTCGGTTTGCGCTTGCAAGATGAGCCCAAAGGACCCAGACTAGAACACTATACCCAATTATAAAAAATGAAAATAATAAAGGTCAATCTTGTTCTTTATACAAATTGCACACATAAAATCAAAGATTTGAATCTCAACTCAAAATAAACAAAGCTCATAATTCAAGGCTAAAAAATCACCAAAATATATTTATATATGTATAAATATAAGAGAAAAAAAAACCTGAGATTAAACAAATTACAGAAATGTATTTATAATTTACCATAATTATAATCTATCACCATAAACATATATGAGTGACATCACTATCAAAAACAACTCTAATCTAGCGTAGAATCATTTACATGTGGCAACCTCTGCATTTGGTTGTACTCCTAGCACTATCTAGCCACCCATCCCAAAAAAGGCAAAGGCCTCTGTAGCATAATTATAATCTATCACCATAAACATATATGAGTGACATCACTATCAAAAACAACTCTAATCTAGCGTAGAATCATTTACATGTGGCAACCTTTGCATTTGGGTGTACTCCTAGCACCATCTAGCCACCCAATCCCAAAAAAGGCAAAGGCCTCTGTAGCTTATTAGTGCTAGTTGTAATTGCTTTTATTTTAATTTTTAAAAATATATATTAAAGTGTTTAGTGTAATTTTTGTTATAGTTTATGAAACAGAAACATAATTATATATTAAAAAAAATTATATAAAAAGTATTTAGAATTTAAAATATATAAATCAAATTTATTATGGTATATCTTGCTCATACCACGTCAAGTGTAAATACATAATAATTTTGCATAAACAAAAATGGAAATTAATATGTATGCAAGTTTACAAAGTGTAACTTCCCAATTACATCAATATAAATCCAAGTGCACTTCATCAAAACTGAGAATATTTCAACTTGACAAAACATTAAATAAATTTAGGCCAAGTTTGACATACACAAAATAATCCATCTTTTTATCTTTTTTTTTTTCCATCACATCACCTCTCTATTTTTCTGCACATCTTTTCGTAAAAAAATAAAAAATACATTTATTTATGTCATCTCAAAAAGTGCACTTAATAAAAAAAATGATTATTGAGAAGTCTAATAAAATTATGTTTTCAGTTTGTGTGCTTTTTATTATCAACTTTTACTTTCTTTTTTTTTTTATTTTTAAAATCACAAATTAAGGATAGATGGGATCATTTTAGATTTCCTTGACATCAGATTACGTGAAAATAAATGAGACTGAGACATTGTATATATTCACCCAATAAAACTGAGACATTGTATATAGGTGCATGCAAAATGCTACGATTCTACAATACAAACATCATTTTTATTGATGTAAAGATCAAAAATCACAAATTAAATAATGGATGAGATTATTTATGTTTCATTAACATCATATTACATGAAATAAGATAGACAAAAAGAGAGACATTACACATAGGTTTATGCAAAATGCTAATTCGATGAAACATCATTTATTAATTTATGCAGAATGCTAATTCGATGAAACAACATTTATTAATTTATATTTTACTGTTATGTAAAAATCATTTAGATTTCATAAATAAACACTTTATTTTGATGATCACACAAAACAAAACCAAAAAAAAAGATCTTGCATGTCTAAGGTGTGTTTTAAGAGGAAGCAGAGAGACATGGTAAAAGAAGAAAAAAAAGTAGCAGTAAAAACAAAAGGTGGGCCCTGTTTGCCCAACTTTCTTGACTTTTTGTTTTTTGGTATTAACTTTCTTGGCTTTTTTTAACTGCAGCAGCAACTAACAACCAAATTACAAAGAAGCCCTTTTGAAAGCACAACGAAAGGAGGAATTTTTGGGTGCCAAGTGATATTTTTTTTTATTGTGATTGAATGTATTTGTAATTAGTAAAAGATACCACTTGACAATTCCACTTGCTACTATCCCAACATACAAAAATTTCTCCAGGGAAAGGGATTAAATTTCCAAGATTTGATCAAGAACCATCCTTGGGTACTACTGGGTGGTAGGAGGATGGTCATCAACAGTTGAGCTTAGATTCCTGTCACTATCACCACCATTAATCCACAAATCAAAAGTGCTGATGAAGTCATCATCATCCCAGAAAACCAAGCTGTTGCTCAAGTCACTTTGCCAGCTGTCAAAGTTTGGTAGTAAGTCCAAGTCTTCAAGTATGTTGTTGTTGGATGAAGAATAAGAGGAAGAAGAAGACGAAGCTGATGATGATGATGTTGATGATGAAGATGTTGTGGTTGTTGATGATATTGAAGGAGCAGTAGTACATGGTGGTAGCAGATTGATCTCATGGGGTTCAATCAATGGGATATCATCTGTGCAAAACCCATTATTGACATCCATTAATGAGTCAAATGGGCCTTCTATGTTTATGTCTTCCTCTTTTTCTTTGTGTTTGGCCTCTTCAGTAATGGATGACTCAAATGATGTCTCTATTTCACTGTTTTGACCCACTGCCACTTCAGAGATTTTACAAGTTAAAGATGGCAGTGGTGGTTGTTGATCTTCTTGTGGTCGTTCTTGTTGGGGTTGATCATGATCAGTTGGAGGAGTAGGCAGTGGTTTGTGGGTGAGAGGATCAATCCCCATCTTCCTCAGCTTTTTCTTGATGTGGGTATTCCAATGGTTCTTGATCTCATTATCTGTTCTTCCTGGAAGATGAGAAGCAATCTTGGACCATCTGCATACCCATTTGGAAAGAAAAAATAAATAAAAATAAATCAGAACCTCTAGAAATGTCCAATTAAAGGAAAATTATTTCCTTAATTCTAAAGTAAATATTACATTTTTTATTTAAAAATTTGACAAATTACACCTATTGTCTGTTTTTTTTTTTTTTTTTTTTTTTTTTTTTTTTTTTTTTTTTGTGCGTCATTTTGGTTCTTACGCTTTTAATTAGTTTAATTTTGAGTCTTAATTTTAAATTTTATGTCAATTTGATTTAATTAATAAATCTATTAGTATTTTTAATGAAAAATTATTGCTGAATTAGTTGAATTTAACTCATTGAGTTGAAAAAGTTTATAATTTTGTCTTAAAAAGCATGCCATATATCATTTATGTAAATATTTTTCAATAAAAAATGCTAACAATTGTAGGGAGTGTTTGATGCAGCTGTTAAAATAGATTATAGATTATAATTTTAATCAGAAATTATTAATCTGTTTGGTGCAGCTGCTTGATTATAAATTTAAATTGCTAAGTAATATTTAGTAAATAAGCTATGAAATAACTTTTTGATGTGTAAATGTCATTTTTACACCTATTAATTGTTAATTGATGCCTACAATAAAAACCGATAATCAGAAGTAGAGAATGCACAATTTTTCAGAATCAGTTTTTTTGAGTTAAATAAATTATTAGAATCAGAAACTCTTTAAAATAAGTTTAACTAAATAGTCCAAAATAATTTTTTCAAAGCTAAAATCTATAAATTGGTTAAAATAATCCATAACAAGCAACCCAGTAAGTAATTAGATTAAATTGAGAAAAATTATAAATTTAAAATTAAAATTGAGTTAGTTAAAATCATAAGAATCACAATAAAAATCAAAATAAAAATAAAAATACAAGAATTATCAATGTAATTTACTACTCTTAAAAATTTTATGAGACACCTTTCCTTTATTTCAAATGACTTGCGTAATGTCAAAGTTATTTTGGTCAGCTGCATATGATTGAGAGAGAACTTAATTAAATAAAATTATAATAACAGAAGTGATTGAGACTCCTTCAATCATCACTTTCACCACTTCATAGACACATGGGAGCTGAAGATTGGAGGAGAAGAAAAAGAAAAGAAAAATTAACCAATCATAAAAAGAGAAGGTAGTGGGGTGCCCTTGGGGAGGTACAAGTCATTTTCCTTATGATAATGAATGGGTAGCTTAATGAATTTCTAAATCTGCATCTTTTATTGAAGCCAAGGGCTTAGCGTGTTGGTATGGGAGCCTGTCCAAGACTCAGGTCTTCATCTCTCCACTGTTGAATTGACATACTCTCAATTATATGGTCAATGTCGTAAAAAAATAATTTTAATATGTGTAATAATTTTTTTTTTAATTTGATATAATAATAAATTTACATACTTTATTTTATAGTCATTCACTATGCAATACAGAGGATCAATTGGCGAAATTCTCAATCACCATCTCTGATATGCCACTTGAGTCGTTCACTCTAAAAGTTGTCTCCAATTACAAACAACTTACATGAATGAGAATCAAGTCTCCGTTTATTTTGACGTAAATATATTTTATTTATTTTTTATTATTTAGTTAAATAAAAAGTAAATTTGTAGAAAATATTTTTATATCATTTTTTTTTTAAAATGACTTATTTTTAAAAAATTTATAAATTAATTTTTACAAAATTAATCCTCACTCACTACCTTGGGATGTAGGTTGATTTTTTGGTTTTTTAACTTTTTGACTATTTTAGTTTGGGGCTAAAAAGTCTAGTTTAAGATGGATTTGATGTGATGTTTTATCTTATTTGACTGAAAAATCTATTTTGTTTTTTTTGTGGCTAAAATAGTCAAAAAGCACCGGATTTTTTTTCTTCCTAAACGAACACTTATCATTTTTAAATAAATATATTATCTCACTAAAAGTCATAAATAACACTTTATTGAATTAAAATTTCTCTTTTAGATAATAAAATATTTTTGTTCCAAGTGTCAACCAAATACTGAAAAACAAAAACAAAAATATTTTCCTATGTAAAATCTATTTTCAAAAAAATATTTTTTTAAAAAAATTATTTTACATTAAAATAACGGAACCTAAGTGAAAATGTAGCAGACTATTCACCAAATTTAGCATGGAATTGAGCCACTGGTTAATTGGCAAGAGCAGAGAAAAAATGATTTAGAGAGAGAGAGAGAGAGAGAGAAAGAGAGAGAGAAACCTGTTGCCAAGCTGAGCATGGAGATCAATAACCATCTTCTCTTCATAGTCTGATAAGAGACCCCTCTTCAAGTCTGGCCTAAGGTAGTTTGTCCATCTCAGCCTGCAACTCTTACCACACCTTAACAATCCTGCAATCACACCCGCCATAACCATTTACTCATTTCTCTTTCTTTTTTTTTTATTTTTTTTTATTTTTTTATTTTTTAAGCACTAAAGCCTGTAATGTTACAAATTTTTTATAGTTTATCTCAAGTCTGGCCTAAGGTAGTTTGTCCATCTCAGCCTGCAACTCTTACCACACCTTAACAATCCTGCAATCACACCCGCCATAACCATTTACTCATTTCTCTTTCTTTTTTTTTCTTTTTTTTTATGTTTTTATTTTTTAAGCACTAAAGCCTGTAATGTTGTGAATCATTACAAATTTTTTATAGTTTATCTTGTGGGCAGCTTTTCTAGCATATACCTTCTGTATAATGATTGTTTTATTGACTACCTGTCCTGCCCAATAATTTATCGAGAAAATACGCTATATATTAGGATAATTGTCTGATTTTCTCGATAAAATCATATGGAAATTATATGTACTCTGAGTTAGTCAGAATAAAATCTCAAATTCTTTCGTTTACGAGAAAAAAAAAATATATATATATACATACACATCTCAATCAATAGGTTGGTAGGAGAAATTGGAATAAAAGGTGGGGTGGGGGAGACCTGAGAGTTTAGGGACAGCTCTCCAACAGCATTGGCCATTGGAGAGGATGAAGTTAATGAGCTTCTTGTCCTCTTCAGCTGTCCATGGTCCCTTCTTCAGCCCTACTTTGTCACAGCATGGTTGTCTCCCCATCTTCTTCACTATAGTACTCTCTCAAACAACTATCAACAAATTAACCCAATTAAGCTCAATGAATGCATATATATAGAGAGAGAGAGAGAGAAACAAGGAGTAGGAAGAGAGAACTGGGTAGACTACACACCAACTTCTTCATTATATACAAATCAAACCCCCTCTACAAGGACACGCTACGCCTTATTATTAATGTTTTTTTTAAGGATCTACAAGGACACGCTACGCCTTATTATTAATTTTTTTTAAGGATTTGTTAGTGTCCTTCAGAAAAAATTTTGGAAAAAATTATTTACAAATAAATTTTCAAGAGTAATTAAACCAAACAAATTTTTTCAAAAAAAAATTTTAAAATTTTGTTTGGTTACCTATTTTCCTAAATCAATTTCTCTCTCATACACATCAAATCAATTAATTTTTTTAAAACTCTCTCCCCAAAACAATTTTCTAAAATCATTTCTGAAAAAAGACAAACCAAACAAGTTTTAGTACTTTTTATCTCAAAAATTACTCTATAAATACAAACCAAACATATCCTAAAATATTTATAGAATACAGTGATCCCGTTTGGAAATTTGATTATTTTAATTAGGTTTGTTTAGTTAGGATTTTTTGAATTAAAAAGGCATAAAAGATAAAATAAATTAAATAAGTCAATAAGATAATTAGGATTTTTTGAATTAAAAAGGCATAAAAGATAAAATAAATTAAATAAGTCAATAAGATAAACTGTCGCATTCAAATTATAATTATTATATTTCCTCTCACAAAAGTCAAAAAATCAAAAGAATCAACTCAAACTTTTTTTTTTTTTTTTTGGACTATTTTAACCTAACAAAAGTTGTGTTTTGAGTAATAATTGTCTATTTTAATATATTTTATCTTTTGTTATTGACTATTTAACCAAAAAAATCTACCAACCCAACTTTCTAAACACTCTCAATATATATTTTTTTTATTAATTTTAATATATTTTTATTAAAATTAATACACTTTTTAATAATTTTATATATTTTTAGCTGTATATCAACAATGATATATCCAGCACGATCGCACTCTTAAAATTTTAAAAAATATTTTATATCATTTTAAAAAATAAAAATAATTTAAAATTGTAAGAATTTATATACTAAACATACTTTTACATCCTAATAATGATAGGGAAATTATGTTGGACCATTGAGCACTTTGTTAGCATTTGTTTTATTTATTTGATTTTTTTTTCATTTGAATGCACACGCGTTATACAAATTGAAGCGCGTCCACACACGTGCGATTGTCGAAAATCAGAAAGCGCCACCGCATCCACCCCCACGCCCCTACTTGAATTTGAAGCATGAGAGAGAATTGAGATCAGATTAGATTTGGACCCACCAACCTCACACCTCAGCAGCATGGACAAAAAATAAAAGTAAAAGTAAAAGTAAAACACACCCCGAAATTCACTAAAAAAAAATCATTTAAAATACATATACAGTATTAGCATATTATAAATAATTATATTCAAAACACAAGAATACAATTTGACTCTAAGATATTGTCCCACAAGCATATTGAAGTTGAATTTTCCAATTGATATGAGCTGTCTTTAGTCTAGATAGCGGACTCCACAATGCCATTAGTCTATTTGGGCCCAATTACATTGTTTATTTTAATGATTTAATTTGTTTATTTTTTATAATTATTTTATTCGTACAAATTATTTATAAATTTAATAATTATAATTATATAATTTATTATTAAATAAATTAATAATAAATATCATTTTAAATATATATTACAAAATATATATATATATATATATGAATAATAAAATTATAGAAAAAATTGTTAAAAGTTCAATTTAAGGAGGATATAAGGCATTAGGTCTAGTGAATATTTTTTATTGGTGAGAAATTCACCCTTTGTTCAATAGTTTGGTAAGAAGTCATTTTTATTATTATAGACACCCCATTTTGACCAGTCCTAAGACTTGAGCATTTTCTTTTGATTACTCGATAATCAAAATAAGAATGTGTCTCACAAAATCCTCAATAAGAAAGATGAAATTTGAGCTTTGTTCTCGAATCCCAAGCCTACTTTGGCCAAGCATTTGAGTCTTATCTAACAGTCGTACAACCACCTGTTGTCCACTGTAATCTACCACCTATTGACTGATGTCCCCCATCTTGGAACCATGTCCATCTCATCCATGATATATGGGACGTCTTTTAGCACCCATCTGTGATGTCTCCTTTGCATTCTTCGACTCCCACTTTGAAGAATATTCTCTTTCACTTTAAATCTTCAAATGAAATCTGCAAACTTTTTATATGTAATTTTCACAATTTGATCGTACGAATGTGTTCGGAATGTTCCAAATAGTTGGAAAACACTATTGGATTGGTGTGATTGGACTCCGAATGAGTTAGATTTAGCCAAAATAGATTGGACAATCTAGATATACGGTTGTACCTCAACCGTGTCACACGAAACAATTCCTCTTTGAATTCTGTGCAATGACATCAGGTGACATCAGCGGCTCACGGTGGCTTGGCGGCTTGGCTTGGTTGTTGATGGCTTGGAAAAACAAATAATTAAACTTGTTGGTTAAGGGATTTGAACCCTTGCACTATTATTTGAGAAGAAACATTGAACCACTTTGCCATAACATAAACTTTATGTTGTGTTTCTCAAGTTATGTCTTTTAACTTGACTTTTCCCCCATCGCACTCGCAACCTACTTGGCCGCGGCTACGACTAGGCTAATTGTGGCCGCAACCATACCAACCATGCCTGCGAGTATAAAATAGTGTTCTCAGATTTTTGTTGTGGGGCACTCCACTATCCCATTTTTCTAACCTACTTTTGCACCAAATGCATGTATACTCAACCTCTATTGCCTAGTGCTTGATCCATTGAAGATAATGCTCTATTTTGGTGCTCCATTAGCTCTATTATCTTCCCTAATGCTCCATTAGTCTTCCACTTTGTCTTCTACCATTACTCCACTTGCATTTCCTATATAAGGAGGGCTTAAGTCTTGAGAAAGAGGAGATGAATTTGAGAGATAGAGAGAGGATAGGTTGATTGAGGCTAGCGAGGAAAAAAAGAGAGTTGAAACTTTGATCAAAGAGTTGCCAAATTTGAGAGAAAAATACAAAGTGAGCCATAACTTCCATCTTCCCATTCATACATTGATATATCCTCATTGAAACCAAGTCCTAAGGCTTTGATAAAAGAGAGAGTAGTCCTTGCCAAGTTTAAGAACCGAACGATCATTTCCTACAGTTGTCGGAAGCCACCGTTGTAGCTCAAATTCCAAGCTTTCGAATTGAGGATTGGGAACATAATTTACAACCTTGACGGTGATCAAAAGAAAGTTTGGAAATCAAGAAGTTCATCCTTTCTTGAGAAAGTGAATTTGTAATTTCTTTCATTTTTCTTATACTTTCTATCTTATATTCGATTTCTTGCTTTAATTTCATATTATTCCTGTTGTAATCTAACTAGAAGTAGTTAGTTGAGCCACTTACATATTCCCTGTTAGTTTTTTTCTTGGTGTTGCAACTGTACGGGGGCGAAATATCCTCTGCTTTCCGTACTCCTTGTACTTTCTTTGTTACCAGGTAGACGCCGTCAAGAGAGGCTTGGAGTACAAGGAGTACGGAAAGCAGAGGATATTTCGCCCCCGTACAGCAACAAAACAGGTTTTGCTAGGCTTAATTGGCTGGCTAGTCAACTTCTTTTGGAAGAAATAAAGTAGTCATCCAGTGTTGAGCATACCAATTCCTGGTGGTCTTCAAGGCACATGAAGCTTCTATTTTGTTTCCATTTGAAAGTTTTGTGAGGTTTTTTTTATTTTGTTGTAATATTTTCCTCCTCCCTCTCTCATTTGGTTTGTAATATTTATTTAAAATGTTGTAATACTTCTCCGCCTGCTTCTTTCTGCCCCATTCTTTTACTTGCTTTCCTTTGTAAATACGCATCATATTTTGTTTTAACTCATATCCATGCTTTGTATCCATGTTTCATGTATATTGATTCGGTTAAGTCTGCATTTGTAGATTTGTTCAATTCATATGTGTGATTATGTACGCTACCTTATGTTTTTGAGATGATTTACATGTCATATGTTAAAAGCCGAATCTTTAGTTACATTTCATGTGCGAATTGCATTAGGATTTTGTATGTAAGATCATGCATATTTCGTTAACTTTACTTTGCAACTGTTCGTGGGACGTCGATAAATATGTAAGTTTTTATGCTTTAGCATCTTGCTTGTGTGTTTTCTTACTATGTTTAAGCATCCTACCATGTATCTACTTGCTTATTTGATATAACTATATGAATGCCAGTGGATGGAAGTTGTGTCGCTTAATTTGGAATGATGTTGATTTTTTTATGTTTGTAAGCTCAATTTCTTTAGGTTGTATATCTTCAAAACTCTTTCAAAACACATTAAATCAAATTGTTCCAAAATGAATGACATACTCTATACTTGTATGCTTCACATAGTAAATTGTAAGATTTATTTAAATAACCAAAATATTAATATATAAAGTTAATAAAACTCATATCATAGTTTAGTAAAGGTTGATCTTTGATCGGATGAGCGAGGGTGCTCAATTAAAGACCTTTCCCTCTCATACCTAAGGTTCCGAGCCAACCATCTTTGATTATGATGAACAGTGGCATTGGCAAGAGTCACGGGTTTCTTAATTTTTCCAAAATATTAGGTGGCGACTTTAAGATCTGGTGATGTAATCCATTTCTAGCAAAGACTTTTTAATAAAATCGATTATCTATAAAAGTTTCCAAATGTGGACTCTCATCTATATTTCACATTGCATTCGTGAGACTAGATCAAATAGGTCGAGGCTCCGAACTATTTAATGCGCGCGGCTACCCCCTAGGCATGTTATAGTCTTTTGTGACTCTGTTAGGAATTTTATGAAACCTTGACTCGAATTCCATGATATGACTTTTATTTTCACTTATATGTTCATTGCATTGCATGCATTGGTGCACTTAAAGTCCTTGTGTTGCCCAGATACTAGTGGGAGCACATGTAAGCTTTTTGTGACACTATACCTATCTTCACCTTACTTT